ATGATGGTGATGATGATGATCGATGGCAATAACAATGATTATGATGATTTCAATCAGATGATGACAATATAGTAATGATGGTGATGATGATGATCAATGGCAATAACAATGATTATGATGATTTCAATCAGATGATTGCAATGATGATGATGATAGTAGTATGATGATGGTGATTGCAATGATGATAGTGATGATGATGATAATGGTGACAATAGCGATGGTAACACTAAATGCACAATTTACTCATTTATTTAATATGACTTACTTCCAAAGAACACAATCCATCTGGCAGGAGACATCATATTTGGTTTCCACACAGAAATAATTAATAGAAAACAAGTTATTGTTAAAGATATCACTCCAAATAAGAGAAACACAAGGGCGGCCTTCCACTCGTCAGGAAGGTCTGGGGTAACACAAACTTCTGGTTGTCGTGGTGATTTCTGACACATCACCAAGAGTCCAAGGTGGACAAAACCTGAAATGAAAGAAAATAATAAGAATACCAAGCAATATAATGGCTGGCTGGCTGGCTGGCTTTACCAAATGCAGAGYGTAATAGCTCATTTGGTAGCCAAAAGTCCATGCATAGAAAAATGCGAACACATTAAATGTGGTCACACTTTTGAGCGTTGAGCTGTAACATTCCAAATTCGCATGTGCGAGAGCATGACCACAAAAAATGGCTCCCATTTGAGACTGGTTTAAATTTACTGTATTTTATCAAGACTTGATAGTTTAAACTCTATTTGATCTAAGTTGGGAAAGGTCTATTCATTGTCCAGGAAAACGACCGTTCAGCTTCTAAACTAGCTATTGCCAATACAGCAAGAATCTTGAGAAGCTCCCGGGTATTTGGAAAGAAAATGCTATCAGCACGTTTTGCCAAAAGACTTGTTGCAGAAGATTTGTCTATAGCATGCTCCTTGCTGTAACTCTTCCAGCGGAACAGTTCGCCTTCAAAAGATGATGAAAGTGGCAGTAAATGATCCCACTTTTGTTGCTAACTAAACTAAAAAAGTCTTGTACTCTAAGTTTATCATCGTACATAGTATCATGATAAACTCGATATACAAAGACAATTCATTGGATTCTGATGAATTTAGAACTACAAGGGGTAATAATTAAACTACTAAGCTTAAGCATATTTTTTTAGCGAAAACCTGCTGTATCAATGGCGTATAAACAAACAATACAATACGGAGTTGAAAATAAAAAATACGACGTAATCTAGCTTATAAGTTTAAGTTATTCATAAATAAGCTTAAGAATTTATTAAGCTCAAAATATATGGTAGACAATTTTAACATAACTAATTATGTTTTTCTGACTTTATTTCAAGCTTTATTAAGTTTTACTTTCGACCTATTAATGATAACTTATTATACAAACCTGAGAATTCTGATACGACCCATTTTGGAGTAACCAAGGCAGCAATTGCAAACACATCAGCAGTAAAGCACAGTATTCCTCCAATAATAACAAACTTATCCATAAGTGCGTCTTCAAAAATATCCAATCTCAGTTCTGATATCTTGTGTCTTGAAATTCTCAAAAATTCTCGTCGTTTTTTTCCTTATTCCGGCATCCATGACCCCCATTTAGTTCCCTCGGGCATTTTGAAATGTTTCCTTTGGCCCCTTCGTATACTATCTATACTTTATCCTCAATTTAAACAGCAGAAAAAGACGATATTAATTAATGAAGACTTTCAAACGTAGTACAATGTTTTGTGTTCCTTCGAGCCTTCGAGAACTTCTCAAGTTACTAGGTTTCACGAAGTATTCACGAATGACTATCGATAGGAAAACCAATGACGTCATCATACACGGAATGCTATCGATTAATAGCAAGAGTTCCAAAATAATAATATTATTTTGGAACCGATTTTCCTGCGATTCAAGAAATCCTAGATTTTGGGATGTCTTATGATGTCGTAGCTATGAATCTTCGAAACATTATATCGTAGGATTTTTACGTGTAACATAGACTTAGTACATCTGCTTTGGATCCTGAAGTTGTGGGAACCATGGATAAATCTGTCCTTGCAGGTGGAGTTTTATGTTTTATCGCAGATCTATTCGCCATTGCTTCGCTCGCGATGCCTGAGTGGGTCATTTCTAAGTTTTCAGGTACGATAAGATAAAATGAATCTAAAGTTTCGATGAAAATATATTGGTCTAGTTCGGACTGAATCAGTCGACAGACGCACCTGCTTTAAATCTACGTTTGACGACGGAGATTTTCTAAAAATTTTTAAAATGTAATTTTCTTATACCATCGAATCTTTAAATTATGACGAAAGATTATTATCGATAGATTATAAAATTTATCTCACAAAGATGATCTGAATTTATATTAGGGAAAATACAGCTTGGGATGGGTATTGGATTAATTAAATGGGAGTACTTGATTTTATTTTCACACGAAGTCATTTACCTTCAAAATTATGCATATTATGAATTGTCAAAACATTGGGGAATTACTCATCACGGAATTCAAATTTATGATGCAAATGGTTATTTCATGTTTCACAAAAAAAAAACAACAGTCAAATCAAGTTTCAAAAATATACCCCCCTTTACCACCATGACCTAATAAGGGACCATTCATTTTTTTACAGGCATGAGGGTTTGGGGGTGGGGGGAGGGGGGGAAGGG